ATATCCTTTGGCATTCATGAGCCAACATTCGGCCCACTTCACTTCATTTTCTACTCATTGTATGTCCTCAACGTGTTAGTTCACATTTTTCTCAGCTAAACAAGAAAAAAAAACATCAAATGCGCTCATTTGCAACTTCCGCACTTGTCAGCCAGGCCCTTCTGGGCAGCCATCGCGTGGCCAGCAGCTTCTTCGCCGGAGTACCGAAGGGTGCACCGGACTCGATTCTCGGCCTGTCCCTTGAGTTCCAGCACGACAAGTACCCGGACAAGGTGAACCTTGCGGTCGGCGTCTACCGCGATGATGCGAATCGACCGTTTGTTCTCGAGTCTGTAAAGAAGGCCGACACAAGCGGTGATATGGAGTACGCCCCTATCAATGGCGTGCCCTCTTTCCTGAAGGCTGCGCAGAAGCTTTGCTTCGGTGAGGACTGTGCCGCACTTCGTGATGGACGCGTTGCAAGCTGCCAGGCGGTTGGGGGAACGGGGGCTCTGCGCGTTGGTGGTGAGATGCTGAACCGCTTTGTCAACAACTGCAATGTGATGTACTCCCCCAACCCGGGGTACGCGAACCATGGTGGCATCTTCCAGGGCGCCGGTATCAAGCTGGAGACGTACAAGTACTACGACCCGGCCACCAAGGGAATTGACGTTGCCGGCATGCTGCAGTCTCTGGAGAAGATCCCGGAGCGCTCCGTCGTTCTCTTCCACGCGTGCGCGCACAACCCCACTGGTGTGGATCCCACGCAGGACGAGTGGCGGCAGGTGGCCGAAGTGGTGAAGCGGCGCAACCTCCTGCCGTTTGTGGACATGGCATACCAGGGCTTTGCCACTGGTGACATTGACCGTGACGCCTTCCTTCCGCGGCACCTGGCCAAGAATGTGCCGAACCTCATTGTGGCTCAGTCTTTCGCGAAGAACTTTGGCCTCTACGGACACCGCTGCGGCGCCCTGCACATGATTGCGGAGAATCCGGCTGAGGTGGAACGCGTCCTTTCGCAGTACGCCCTCGTTATTCGCCCCATGTACAGCAACCCTCCCATCTACGGTGCTCGTGTTGTCAGCTCCGTCCTGAACTCACCCGAGCTCACGACGCTGTGGAAGGAGGAGCTGAAGCAAATGTCGGGACGCCTGATTGATGTGCGTCATCGCCTGGTGAAGGAGCTCAAGGACTGCGGCTCTGTTCATGACTGGTCGCACGTGGAGCGTCAGATTGGTATGATGGCGTACACTGGTCTCACCAAGGAGCAGGTGGAGATGCTGAAGGCGAAGCACCACGTGTATATGACGTTGAATGGCCGTGCAGCTATTTCAGGCCTGAACAGCACCAACGTCGTCTACGTGGCGAAGGCCTTCCACGATGTCACCAAGTGACGGTCCCAGGCCGTAGCGGATATGGAATAGGCACCAAAATGGAAATACACTGTAGTGGTAGTGTGTAAATTAAGAAGAGCAAAAACAAAAAGAATAGAATAATTGAAGGATATACTAAGAAGCGTAATAAGCGTTTATTTCGGTTCGTTTTTCCCTTTTTTTTGTACCGTTGTGTGGAGGTTGGGTCTTTACCTGAACGTCTGACATTTCGAAGACCCCGCTTCCACAATCGGCCGCACGACTTTATTTATTTTTTACTTTTATTTTAGCCCACACGGGAGGTTGCACATCCCATTTGTGGCCTCAAAAATTCCTGTTTAACTTGTTCTCCTACACAGTGCATCAAGAATTAGCCATCCCTCGTGTTGCGCGTTGCCTTTTGTGGACACTGTCGTCGGGAGGCTCTACTGGCCGTTTGCTCTTTTCTCATTTCTCCTTATGTTTTTTTATTTTATTTTCACATACACACGCATGCATGCATAACGACAAAAGCGAGTTGTTTATTCTGCCTGTAGAGTAATACGTATATAGACCAAAGACTGGGCTTGTTTGTGAGGTGTGGAATACAAAGCTCAGATCAGAGGGGCAGATCCTCGCTAGTCACTTTTGCCATCTAGAGCATAAGGCGATACTTTCACCTCTTACTTGCATTAGATTTTCCTGTATCTGAGGTATTTTTTTTTTTTTTTTAGAGTCCGGTCCCCCTCCCAGCCGACGGTCTTTCCCCCTACTGCATAGCACAAGCTTCCCCCGTGGGTGACGTGCGCAATGAGTGTGGAGTTCGCATACCGAAATCCATTTCTGAGTGGATGCTATGACAACATCAATGCGCGCAGTTTCGCCTCCTCACCATGCTCCGCGGTGTGTACGGCGACAATAGCGGACAGTGGCGCCACCGCACTGAAGTTGTCGACTGGCCGCTACATTCAGCAGTTGGAGGTGGAGGTGGAGGAGTTGACCCAGCAGTACAATGCCGCCTGCCAGCTGCTCTACCGCGCCGTCTTTGTGCAGGATGCGTCGGCCATTACAGTGGAGGAGGGCGGAGAGAGACGCCACATCATCGAAGAGGAATCTTCTGCTCGCACCGATCTTGTGCGGCTCTTCTTCCACGTCACATGGATGCGGCGGCGAGAGGGTCTTGTCGCGTTGCCGCATAGTGCAGTAACTCCCGAAACGTCGTCGAGTTTCTCTGCGCTAAATCTGGGTGAGCTGACGGAACGAATTGCGAGTGCGTTGCGTGAACCGCTTCATGAAGAGAATGAACGAATCACGCAGTTAGTAGAGGCCGTACCGGAGCGGGTTTGTGTAGCACTAGGCTCCGGCGATAAGCAAATGGCACCGCTGTCACCCAGCGGGAGTGCGGGGCAGAGCGACGCGGGCAGCGGCGTAGTCTCGGTGGTTGTGCTGCAGCAGCTGGAGCACGTCATGGCGCGCATCACGGAGTTGTCAAACCGACTCAACAGCGTGCAGGATGTGGACTCGGGGAGCCGTCGTCTTGACCGCAGAGCAGAGGCCGGCGTCACATCCCTGCAGAGCGCCGTGAAGGGCTTGGAGGACTCATCCCGCCGCTTGGCAGAGGTGGTACACTTCGACAGCGAAAGGGCCGCCCCGCAATTTTCAACACAACAGCGGCCAGAGGTGCCACCACCACCACCACCACCACCACAACAACAACAACAACAACAACAGCAATATAAAGAGCAAACGCAAAGTGCAGTGTCGTCACCGCTCCCCACGTCGGGCTCCAAAGGTGCACAGGACTTCGCAATGCTGCAGAAACTTTCCCGCGGCGTCGTCGCAGCTTTGGGCTCACTCATGTCAGAGTACATGTTCTTTGCTGGGCAGAAGCAGATGGTAGCTGAACAGGAAACTGAGATTCTCATGATGATCCGTGACAAGGGGAAAGAGGCGCGGTGGAATCGTCTTATTGACGAAAAAGATTCGGAAATTAAGCGTCTTCGGGATGAGGTGGCAAAGCTGCTGCAAAATGCGACAGTTGCGCGTCGTGAGATCTCAAGCACTCCTGTACCAGCTGTTGAATCCGTGCCCCTTGCGCAACTGTACGCCAGGTTCGCGGGGCCCTTTCTCCCTCCTAATGCCCGGAAGACGCGTGGTGTGGCACTTCAGTCCATCGCAAAGCTGCGCGAGGAAGCGTCACGCGTGGGCGTGCGCCCGGCAGCTAATGTCATTACTACTACTGCAGCTGCTGCTGCTGCCGCAGGTGTCGCCGGGTCTTCCTCAGTGGCCCTGAAGGAACGTAGAGGCATTGCGTTGCCAGATATTGTCGCACCTCAATCGCGGTCCTCCTCGCCTCCTTCACCGTCAAAACGGAGAGAGATGGCTGCCAATGCTGCTGCTACTGCGGTGGCGGCGGCGGCCACTACGTCTTTCCCTCCTCCTTCCAAGGGTGCTGCAGCTGCCTCCACGCACGCCACTTCTGTTGCTGTCACGGCTGCTCCGAAGGTTGTGGGTGTCGCGCCGACGATGCGGCAACTGAACAGGTCTCTTTCTTCATCATCCGGCTCCTCCACCTCGCCGGTGCGAGCGGCAAAATCCAGCCAGGCCTCCAGCAACACGGCGGCGGTGGCGGTGGCGGTGGGTGGGGGCAGGAAAAGCACCGTGGCTAACCACGCCTGTCGCGTGTCACGACCATCTGCGATCGCACCGAGCCGCGTTGCCCCTTCCACACCAAAAAGTGTTGAAAAGGGGCGTGCAGAGGTCGTTTTGGAAAACTCGTTTGACGAGAGTACCGAAAGCGCGCCCAAGGGGCGTCGTGGTGCACCCGCCTCATCCCGTGGGGGAGCTGGCAAGAGTAGCAGTGGCGGTGCTTGTTTTGTGGGGGGGCAGGG